GGGAAAAAAATGACGTGCATCAAGGTCCTATTATGTTTAATGTAAGTACCAAATTTGAACGAAATCCGTCCATGCATAACTGAGATCCGGGTTCGGAATGGTGAAAATGTGCGATTTCAATGCATTTTCGGCCTTAAAGCGGCCGCCATTTGGCTATCGTTAATGGGATCATGAAACAAATGCACATACATATTTGTGACATGATGTACCTTGTGTGTGTGAAGTTTGAACTTGATCAATCCAGACATGTCTCGGATACGGATCCAGAACTGAATTCTTTAAAACAAAATGGCCGCCAGTCGGCCATTTCAAACTTGATCCGAAAAAAAAATGACGTGCATCAAGGTCCTATTATGTTTAATGTATGTACCAAATTTGAACGAAATCCGTCCATGCATAACTGAGATCCGGGTCCGGAATGGTGAAAATGTGCGATTTTGATGCATTTTCGTCCATAAAATGGCCGCTATTCGGCTATCATGAAAAAAATGCATGTGCATATGTCCCATATAATGTGTGATGTATGAGTGAAGTTTGAACATAATCGGTCCATGCATGTTCGAGATACAGGTGATCACGGACGGACGGACGGACGCACACAGGGCAAAACATAAGTCCCCGTTTTCGGACTCCGTCCAAACGGGGACTAATAAAATCGCGAAATGGAGGTGTTAGCACGAAATCATCCCGACTGGTTTATTCTGCAGGAAATTCATTGCTATTAAATATTCATGAGCACTTATTATAATGAGGTGGGCGCGGAAATACGTGCACAATGAGGTCAACATGGTAAAGGTCACAGTGCAGACCCAACTTGGCGGGGCACGTTAAAATTCGAGTTTGTCGTAGTCGTCGTTTCTAATTCATCACTATGTGTAAATAAAGTAACTCGTACTGTCGTGGAATTGAAAAAAAAATTGGCTGCTACAATCAGCCGACGCCTTCTCGGTCAGAGGTCAGTTGAAGAGACGTTGTGATTGGCTTAGATGATTGTCAATTAGAACACTCATTAACATAATTACCCGTTGAAAAATCGACTGGTTCCTGTAGTGTCGATAGAGGGCCATGCAGAATAAACCAGATTTCGCAGTTACAGGGGATTTCGCGCTAACACCTCCATTTTGCAATTATTATTTTTTATTTAAACTACAAAAACAAATTACTGCGCCAGTCTAGTCCTCGATATATATTGTGCATTATACCATTGAAACCAGTCGAATAAGCATTTGGTGCAACAGTATAGAAATATCACCCACATTTGCACTGAGGAGATTAATTGAAACGAACTAAAACAAATTGTGGTTAATATTTATTTTGTCATCTCCAACTTTGGAGTAAATCATACACTAACTGAAGAACTCGTAATTCCTTTTTTTTTATTAAAGTATTGTGTTCACAAAAAGCTGTATTACCTAAGTATCCTTCAAAAGATGCAATACATAATATTGCACTTGATATAGTAATACCTACAAATTCTTGCCCAATTTGGCAGAATTTAGTCGGAATGTCGGCGGCTGCCACTTGCAGAGGACATAGGCGTATGACGTCATTGCGGGGATGGACATCACTTGGAGAGGAACATCAAGAAAGAATTTTCTCGCATCACGTGGTGACCGCTCGTCCAATAGGAGGCTCGATAAACTCGTGGGGAGATGGCAGCATTAGCTGACATATACTGACAAGCAGGACACGTAAAAAACGTGGTGTGATTCCTACCTCACTGCTAAGTAGGTCACATGTCATTTGTTAATCAATCACATATATGCTTGCGTAAATATATAATGTTATAAATACATGCATGGACACTTCAAAATGACACAGATTGAATGACGAGTTTACCTGAAGGACAATTAAGCCATTGTCCTTTTTAATTATACCGTCTAACGATAACATTTTTTAAGACGACCGACGTGTGAAATGTACAGCACGTTCGTAATGCCATAGGATGGAAGAAAGCATTTCGTTCTTCCTTTATCTGTTTTTTCTGATTCCTTCATATCCAAAAAAATACCTAACTTTCACATTCAAACCATTCAGGAAGCTGTAAAAGTTTGGTATTTTTTTCACTGATTTGTAGGAATCTGAGAAACACGTTTCTCAACTTGCGCCGGATTCAAGATGGCCGCCTCCATATTGTAGATATCGGTATCGCGTTTATTTGATTGTCACTTGTACGCCAGCTTACTGTGTAGGCAATGTTAGTGGCTCGCCAAATCCTGCTGAACAAAATACTGAGCCAATAATTTAACTTGAGCTGTCAAGTCCACCCAAACACATCGTTAACAATGATCGCGAAGCGCAATGACTTGGCCCTCCTTGTGTTGATATCGTATAATAGTGGACTTTGATTCTGTGGGTATCAACAGTACTGTACTTACCAGATAAGGACTATACCGTGTAAGCCTAGGTAATTCCTAGTACTGACTGCATATTCTGTATATACTATTAGATACGTGGAAAACGATGTCAAATCATAATGGATATTTTGACACATAATTACTGGGAAATATTTTAAAATCTAGAAATATGTATAACAAGCTTTAGATATTACCATAAAAGAGGTCATGCATCTGGCTACTGTATACTAACTATCAATGAGAATTTCCCAAAACAATACTGTTGCCATTGAAATTAAAAAAAAGTTTAACACTGCACATGAGATATATTAGTGTATATCATTGACAGTATAGAATAACCCTCCCTAAAGTAGCGCCACGCGTAATGATGTTTATGCCTCCCCTCCCCTCCCCCGTACCCCCGATAAATACACATCTAGACCGACTTCGACGTAAACTACAGCCCTATATAGGACTGCAATTTAATTACAATTTAATTCGACTAAATTGAATTGCAATTTTGTATAGAAATATCTTATAATTACAATTTAAATCGATTCAATTAAATATATATTGTTTTAACAGTTGAACAGACCACAGTCCCTCAACGAGGGACTGTGAACAGACAAAACGCCACAAAGCAGATCAAGATCATTACCCTTATTCAGTCACAATAGATTGGTGTCTCAAAAAGTCACTTTCCATCGTCTACAATTAGAGTTAAAGTAGACAAGAAAGACAAACGAGGAATCGTCACAAAACAAAAGTGGTTTGATTCTTCATCTCTGCTGTTTATTCTAGAGTATGTATGTCCATGATGCATTCAAAGTCACTCGCGTTTTCGGGATAAGCAGCCTCAATTAACTAGAGTATTCAAAAATATAGTAATTCATTAGTTTATTATCATTACTTAATTATTTTTTTTACTTAATGTACACTCTGATCATTATGAATGGCTAATATGTACCCCAAAGCATTATATCTATTTATGGAAAAACGGTGTTTATAACATAGAGCAATGTTTACTGCTGCACTGTGACGTATAATGTGTGTATTCCAAAGCTGGCTGGTTGTTTCATACCAATATAATACTATACTAGACAAAGGTAAAGCGAATTTAGATCATGCTGCCATGAAACAATTCTGTCTGCTTGGCCACAATACTTGAATACATAAAGCTGAATATTTCAAAATGTTGAGTTATCGATTTTAGGGGCGTTCTAATATGGCACTGCCCAACTTGGCCTCTCAAGCTAATCTGCGATTGTGTTCCCCTGCTAGCTGGTTTCGTAGCAGTCTGTTGCGACTGTCAACTGATTACTGCGTTTTAAATTTTATTTGGACGTCTTTTCTGTTTGTTTTGTGTTGACAGTCGGGCCGGGCCAGCCAGATACCGACGACCAAAAACGGCCCTCAGGGGGCTATGATTCCACAGCTATTCCCCTGCATGAACATATTTGGGCGACGGACTTGGTCTTTCCTCATAACGGATTGCGTAGAAATGACAAGTTATGAAATTATTTTATGTTTTCCTCAAAATAAATGCTAAATTTACCAATCACGACGTAAAACATTTGAGATTCTACTGTGAATGTTGTGCAATGTCGAAGTTGAAAACGTTTTCCATTCTGGCTGTGACTGTAATCGTTTCCGTTTTTTTTGAGAAAACTTTAAGGCAGGTATGACCATCTTTCTGTCATATTAACGTTATTGAACTGTAATGCTGGTTCACTTATTGAATGTCTCGAAGTCAAGTTTATGCAGCGAACTTGACATGGAATACCTATTACGAATAAGAAACCAGTTCCACATAATACAAGAATCAAAATGGCGTCGTTACCTGTAACCATAATTATGTTTTTTACTATGCCAGTTCAAGAATGGTAAATATTAAAACAATATTTCAATACATTTTCTTTATGTGAAAATCAAAATCAACATTAAGTCCAGTGTTCGCTGTCAGTCCTACCCGAAATGTAATGTCTTTACATTTATTGCGTCTTTCACAAATGAACATATATATTCGATTGAGTATTTGGTTGCAATAGACAGGTCAACCAATTACATTAAAGACAATATTGAAACAGCTGCAGTAACCGTCCCGAATCATGTTCGATATATGGGTACTAAGCTAAGGGGTCCGCTTTCTATCTAATCTGATAATACCGTCATGGAGCAAATATCCACCCACAGTATTTATGGCTTCGCGGAAATCAAGCTAATTCCTTGTACTGACTGTGTTCTATATATAACAGGTTGTCATTTGATACGTGGAAACAGACGTGTTAAACAGAAGACAGGACAAAACAGTGCATGATACAGTGGCAATAGAGGTCCCTTGTACGACGAAATGTGTGATCATCCCTGAACACCATAAGACGACAACACAACGCTCTATTTAAAGAGAACAGAAATGCTACAGTGTGTCATTTTAACAGTATGCTGACGACGGTGGGTTAACCGTGTAGCTGTGGAGACCTTTTGGTGAACACAAACCTTGCTGCCAAGTCAGGAGATAACAACAGTATGTGCTTTAATTGAACACCCTCTGCCAAGTTAGTATTCTTTATAACTCTACCATTTGTCACGTGACTTCATTCTGAGTGCCATCTCTCAAATAACAAGACCTTAAACTAAACATAACATTGCATGGATTATACACCAAAGGAAATCGCGCTAGATTTGCTGAGCAATGATATGAGGCAACAATCAAGACAAATATTCAATATTCATGGCAGAGACTGACAACTCTCGGGGGAAAATTGACACGTCTGATTGTCTGGACAAGATACTAATAAATTATAAATCGCAAGAAGATCAAGATATCCCATGCAATGATGTGTTTCATCATGACAAAACTTCAGAAGTTAATATAGGAATACAGTTAGAAAATGATATAAACGGAATTGAAAACAATTCTGTTCTGTCTGATTCTAATACCCCCAACAATTCGACTCTTGAAAACCTGGACCTGTGTTACATGCAGAGCTTAGTATTTGACGAAGTACACGAACAAGGACCTGAGTGTAAACTGATGACTTGCATTAAAGAAGAAAATAATTCCTCTGTTGAAACTCACCTTGCTAGTGAATTCCCATATGCCGATGCCACAGTTAACCATTTCATTAGGGAAAATGACCTGCTACAGATAAACAGCAATGCCATTGATACAGATATTGAACATTATAATTGTGTTTTTCCACTTGAAAATAAATATCACTCTATTCCAATGACGACAAACAAAATAAAAATAGAATCGGGAGACGGCGAGAAAACAAGTTCTGTTTCTAGCACAGTGGAATATGTTGCGATTAACACATGTACAGATGAAGACGAAGACTATGAGAATTTTTGTGCCATGGATAACCTTGGTTACCACGGTCATAGTGATGGACATACCTTGAACTGTACAATTCACCAAAATGCTGTATCCAAGTATAAATGTATGGAACATGTTATCGAAGATCCGCTTAGTGATGATGAAATTGAGCATGAGGATAGCACTTTGATTTTGGAAACTAAGGAACAGGAAGATGTTGAATGCATCATGGAATGTAGTGAATATGGGTCAGCTGTGTCAACTAGGTACCAAACAGAATACAGTAATACAATGAAATCAAGTACATTAGTTGATACTGCAGTTGGTAGCACAAATGTCTTAAATATTGGAAAACAATGTCAGAGTGCATTTGATAGCGATGGAACTATGTCACTGTTGATTACTGGGATGTCAACTGAATATGAGTTTATGTCAATGAAAGTGAACCAAGATCATCTAGTAACCACAAAACAACAGGAGAAAAGGGAGGAGAGGAAGACAAAGAAAAAGAAAAAGACCGAAAGTCATCTTCAAAACAAAAGCAATAATGCCTTTCTCATGCCTGAAGAACAACTCAACAGTCATGGTACATCTGTCGTTCATTCAATTGAGTACCTAGAATTCCTAGATAATATGAAAGATATACCTGAACTGAATTCGTCTAATGACGTAGCAGAAATTATATCACCAGAACTACCTGAACCTCAAATGCTTTCTGAAAAACAGAACGATGCAAATGAAAGCAGACATGACAATCAAAACAACAACACCATCATGGACTCTGAGCGCGATTCATGCATTTCTCCCAAGGGATATGTTACAGGGATTACTGGTGAACTTAACCAGAAAAAACATTTAAATAATAAAGATCATACATTAAAAGAAAAGAAGAAAAAGAAGAAAAAGAAGAAAAATAGGAAAAAGAATTCAAGTAAAGAACATAAAGCGAACAGTTGCAGTGATAACCAGGAATGTGTACCCGGAAGTAGTTTAGCTAACAATGACCAGCAAGTGCAAACAGCAAACTAAATCCTATTGAGAATATGTTTTGCCAAAAAACGTCAAGTGGGCTAATTGATCTGGAAGATGTATCTGAACTGAATTTATCAAATGGCATAGGCGAATATATGTCACATGAATTACCTCAAATGCAATTGATTTCTGAAAAACTGAAAAACATCTGCACAGATACAAGGGCAAGTGAACACAACAATCTGAAAAACAACAGCGCTGATACTGGAGACGATATTTGCCAAATAACACCTGGCATTTCTTCCCAAGTAAATAGTGGATATGTCAAGATGGAATTAAATGATGTCTATAAGACATCTTCTGTAGTGCCAATCCTGGATGATTGCATTCATACACTGAGTGATAAAAAAACACAAGATTATTTTAGTGAAGGATGTGCAAGTGAAGAAGAAGGTGCTCATGCCTCTTGCCTGACTACATGTAGCACTTTCAGTGAGGTCCCAGACGGTGATTGTGTTTCTTCAAGGTGGCAGGAACACCATACCATGGGTTTGTCTGTTAATGATAACATATTGTTTACACAGATCACTAGTGAAAACTGGGCAAACAATTGCCTAGATAATCTGGAAAATAAACCAAAACTGGATTTGTCAAATAGCACTGGAGTAAATGGTTCACATGATCTAGCTCCAGTTCTTTATGAAGAAGAAAATAATGCAAATACAAATAGACTTGAAAGTAACAATGGCAATATAAACAACCCTCAGTAATGACCTGTGGAATGATTGTAGCCAAACATGCTGTATTATTTCCCAAGGAGCTAAATCTAAAAATGATATTACTGAAAACGCTACTTATTCACATGATTCTAGTGATTGTGAGAGAGAACACACTGAGATCAAAGACGATTGCGAAAATATGGTAAAGAACACTGTGAAGAATTCATCTGCTGATTCAAATCAAGATCCTATAACTACAACAACAACAACAACAAAGAAAAAGAAAAAGAAAAAGAAAAAGAAAAAGAAAAAGAAAGAAAATGATTCAAATCAAGGACAACCAGTAACCAATGATAGTCTGGAAGATGTACCTGTGATTAGGTTAGTCAAATATAGTGAAGATGCAGGAGTCCATTTAAATAAAGACCAAACATCAAATAATGAAAAGAATAAAACAGGGAAGAAGAAGACGAAACAAATCAACAGTGGAAATATTGGTGTAGATATTGCTGATGAAATTACAATTGTACAAATGAATGAACCACTAAAGCTGTTAGAATTACTAAAAGCAGACAGCATTGTAAATCCAAAAGATACTCTGGACGAGATACCTGAATTGAGTGCGACTGGTCATGCTGAAAAATTCCACCATCTCTGACACTGTTGATGATTTTTGCCATATGAAGTCTAGTATTTCTTCCAATGCACACAAAGCCACAAATTATATTGCAGAGTATACGAGTTGTCAGCATTCGACCTGTTGTGAA